TTCTGAAGGTTGCTCTTCCTGATGTTTCGCCAGTCTCTGTGGCCGGCATCTTCAGAGGACTGGAGTAGGAACTCGGTCCATGCTCTGTCCATGGACAGAGTTCCTACTCCAGTCCTCTGAAGATACCGGCCACAGACACTGGCAAAACGTCAGGAAACACAACCTTCAGAACACGGCCAAAGAGCCTGAAAAACCCTCAACAACCAGTGGTATTTTGATTCCTATTGCAGGTGGCAGGTGAGGCTGTGCTGCCTGTATTTATGTTTAAGAGGAAGCATTAACTGAAGGCTTTCTCATTTACATATCCAATGTTTTGGTTCAAAACTTTAAGTTATCCTTGAATACTAGTCAATCTGGCTGGGGCTAATGGGACTTACAGCCCAAAACACCAGAAATGATTAGGTTGGTGCAGATAGCATGAGCATACGTTCATATATTTAAAAGAATATCCATTTGTTATGTTTTAAGAACTATGTAGACAGTTTCTGTCCACCTCCACTTTCACCACATTACATATTGCTTTCTATATGATCCCTGTCAGAAATAGTGCTTCTATAATCAGTAACTACCCAATACTTAAGTAATACAAAGTAAATAGTGTACTGTTTATTGCTCCAGCTGCACAATCAGTACCTCATAGAATTTTAATATGTTGATAACCCAGGCACAGAGACCAGCTGCTGCAAATGACTTGGTGCGAACCAGGTTTGGGTTGAACTCTGAGTCTTTCAAGTAATGTTCCTTGACCACTTTCAGACAGTTCTCTGGTATGTGCTCTTTATCGTAATTAATTAAAGCTTGCAAAAAATCATCAACCTGGAAGAAAGTAATTAACGTCCCTAACTCATTATTGAAGAATAACATTTCAAGTTGTCAAATTGCTTTCACAGCTTAGGAAGTAAAAACACCAACAAAATATCTTTCACTTTAAAAACAGCAAATCACATATGAAGTATAGACCTAAAATAGGAAACAGATCTTATCCATTTTCTATCTGGAAACTAAGAGTGGGGTTGCACAATGGAAGAAGCAAGGGATTCTGGCACTTTCCCCTTTAACACTTCTGAAAGAGGGGTGCAGAAGTCCCAGGAAAAATACAGGTTTTCTTTATGAGTCAGTGACTGGCTAACTATAGGACATGAAACAGGTCCTAATAATATATTTAAATATAAAAAGCAGTTCTTTGGAAGTCCTGCTTAAACAAAACTACAGTTTTGTTATATATTTTTCATTATTCTATGATTTTATTGTTGTTTCCTATGTCTCAGTTGTTTCTTTGATTACATTATTTGTTAACCACCTAGAATAGCACCAACACTAATGGGACAGTATATAAATAAAATAAAAATACATTGGCACATAACTGTCCTTTTTGTCCCAGACTATTTGCCCTTGACTCCACAATTTTTTCTTTAGCTTGTCCCATAGAAGTTAGGACACCTTCCATCTATATTTCTTTAAATCTTTGCAAGTAATTAATGCTCATCAAAGACATAATGGAAAATTACTTATGGTCACAGAACACTTGGTATTTTTATATAGGTCATTGTACAAAATTGCAACCTACTGTACATAACTGTAAATAATGTTCTCAAATTTCATCTGTTTCATATGTACATATTTTCCAAATCAACAAAAAAAATGAACAAAAATGGCTGGGATGAAAAATTGGAATCATCACTGGAGAGAGAAAATACTCCAGAACTTTCACAGTTCAAGTTCCTTTATTCTGCAGTATGATGGCTAGTGTTATAATTACCTTTCCCATAAAGAGTTTAGCAGCTTTCCAGCTTCGATCTTTCGGTACTTTCCCTTTCTTTGCCAATAGCACCATTACTGCAGCCACAACATTGATCACTGCAATTGGTGGATTAGGAAATGCTTTCAGTTCAGAAAGATTCACCTGAAGAACAATGATACACACAAAAATTGCACTGTTATTAACCAAATCCAACAGTAGAAGAACAAGATGCGTTAATGCCATCTTGGAAACATGCTCTCATTCTCTTCCTTTCTTAAAAAAAAAACAGGCATTGGTAGGTAGTGAGGGAAAGCTGTGAGAATGCAATGATTGTTTTAAAAGTGCAGTTTTGGTGTCTAGCACTCTATAACAATACCTGGAATATTTTTGCTTCCAAAGTTACACAACATTAAAAGTGCACTTCAGGTTCTAGGAGGAAGAATATTAATTACTTCAAATTTTCTATACAGTGGTGCCTCGTTTAGCGATGTTAATTCGTTCTGAAAAAATTGCTGCTAAACGATTTCATCGCTAAGCGAAACACGGTTTCCCATTGAAATGCATTGAAAACCGGATAATCCGTTCCAATAGGAACGAACTGCCGTCCTTAAGCAAAAATCGCCATAGGAAACATTGTTAAGCGAAACGCGGTTCCCCAATTGAAATGCATTGAAACCTATTCAATGCATCTCAATGGGGGGAAAAAATACAACAACAAATTAAAAAAGAGTCAGAATAAAGTCAAATTTGGTTAACAAAGTGTTTATTAAGTGCAATAAACTTTAACTTTATAAATAACAGAAAATATTTAAAAAACAGCAAACATGAGGCTGTTTAAACCATCGTTAAACGAAACAGGGGACCCAAAATGTAATTGCTATGTGAAGCATGGTCCCAATCATCGCCAAGCAAAAATCGCCCATAGGGACCATCACTAAACGAAACACAAAAACGCTCCGAAAAAGTCATCGCGAAGTGATTTCATCGCTAAACGGAGCGCCCGTTAAGCGGGGCACCACTGTATGAGAGTTTTCTCTTTTATACATCTCTTTCCCATTTTGTGCCACAGCTAAAACAAATTTTAGTGTGATGCAATCATCACATTTTCAGTGGAGATGGGCACAACCTAAGTCGTGCTGCATCGCATGACTCGTGCTGTGTGGCACCACAGCTGCTGTGCATTCTCTTGGACCACCATCCTGGCCGGCTGCCCCACTCACAAGCCTCCGAGCGCCACTCGGGTCCTCCTCTGTCCCTGACTGCCCAGTCCAGGAAGGAGCTTGGGCTGCCCTTCTCTGTCTCCTTCAGCAGCTGACCATTCAAGCAAGGAAGCAAGATGGGGAGTCCCCATTTATAGCTGTTGAGTGGTCGGCTGCTGGAGGAAGCGGGGAAGGGCAGCAGGAACAACTCCACAGACTGGGAAGTAGGTGATGGAGGATGGCCTGATTGCATGTGGAGACTTGTGAGTTGTCCAGGTGGTTGGAGGGAATGCACGGCAGCTGTAGCATGACACAGCATGAGTCGCACGACGCGGCATAGCTTAAGTTGCGCCCATCTCTAATTTTCAGCTTTTTGCAGACTTAAGGACCACATGAATATAACTCCACATCTGATTACATAAAACAAAGCAACTGGGCAGCGGCCTTAGATCAGTTTCATGGTATTCGATATCCCAGAATTCCAAATTTAAAAAATGAAGAGTCCGTTTGCCAACAAACAACCAGCAATACAGCTACCATACTGCAGTCTAGTTCTTACCTTATTAAGTGTATTTAGAGCTGCAGTAGCAGCCACCAGGGCAGGTTCAGCTTTCACCAGGTCATCTTCACACTCTTTTTGTTTCTGAGACACTTCTGATTGGATAGCAACAACCTATTTGAACACAGAGAATGTTCACAGACTGGACTTTGTTTTCATATGAAACTGTGTAAGACAGTGAAATTTGTGAGATTTGCTTCTAGGATGGGTTGTAACCTCTCAAGTTGTTTTTGTGGCCCTGCCTACTCCCAACCTATCCCTAACTCCCACTGGCACATTTCCAGTAAGAAAAGATGGGGGAACTAGTGCTCTGGAAGTCTCTAGGAATGATAATTCACCTTTTCAATAAAAGAGAGCTAATAACACCATGCTGATTTTTCAGAACTGAAACTGGATCACTTAGGGTTTACTTCTTTGGCATTTTTGCCAGTTTGTACAGCCCCCAGAAGATTCTGGGATGGAAAAAATAGTCCCTGGGTCTGTGGAGGGTACACCCTCCTATTCTAACAACTCCCAGAAATCCAGGCCAGCACAGCTGGTAGTGAAGGCTTCTGGGAATCACAGTCCCAAAACACCTGTGTTACCCAAGGTTAAGAAGTACAGTGGTGCCTCACAAGATAATTGCCACGTGGGATGATTAATCCACAAGACGATTGGCTTTTGCGACTTTTGTGATCACTGTGGCACTTCGCAAGGCAATGTTTTCTATGGATGATTTTCTTAAGACGACAATTTTTCCCCACTGGAAGGCATTAAATAGATGCTGTGGCGCTTCGCAAAGCAATGTTTTCTATGGACGATTTTCTTAAGACGATGATTTTTCCTCATTGGAACGCATTAAATAGATTTCGATGCATTCCAATGGGCAACTGCGTTTAGCAAGACGATGTTTTCTATAAATGATTTTCGCAAGATGATTTTTTCCCCCATTGCAAGATGATTTTTTTCCCCCACTGGAACGCATTAAATAGATTTAAATGCATTCCAATGGGGAACCACGTTTCGCAAGACGATGTTTTCACAAGATGACTTTTTCGCAGAACAAATTAACATCATCTTGCGAGGCACCACTGTACTAAACTAGCAAATGGCAAGATAATGCTACTGAAGTAAAAACTGTGTAATTAATTTGTTTTTAATTTTACCTATATTTCATATCCATCCACAATTTTAAATTGTGCAATGCTGTGATAAGAATAAAGATTTTCGTGGAATGAATTAACATCATCTTGCGAGGCACCACTGTACTAAACTAGCAAATGGCAAGATAATGCTACTGAAGTAAAAACTGTGTAATTATCTTAGCATTTTAATTTGTTTTTAATTTTACCCATATTTCATATCCATCCACAATTTTACATTGTGCAATGCTGTGATAAGAATAAAGAAAGAAAGAAAAACAGGCCAGTTTGTGTTATGCAGTGAGTCAAGTGTGGGGAAGTCCTTAATCAATCCAAAGTCAAACACCATGTAAGCCAAATGTTTCAGGTACTCCTTGAATACAGGAAAATTCCTGATACATTTTATTCATTTAAAATTGATGGTCTGGCTACAGTAGCTTCAGGTATTGTTGCCAGTGTCCTTAGACATATGCTGCCATGTTCTATCTACAGCACAGTAGCATTAGATCAAGTCAGTTTCACTCATGGGCAGTCATCTATTGCAACTTCATCCTTCTAGGGAGGGGAATTCTGCCCTGCCTCTTTAAATGTGGCCTGTCTATGAGGCTTGGGGATACCGGTGTCTTGCACATCTGGAGAGAATGGGCCTTCTGTCACTGCTCTTGATGGCCCAAGCTCTGCCTCAGCCTACAATAACTATAAGCTTTTCAGCTTCAGTATGGCAGGTCCAAAAATAGCTTGAAGTGGCTACATGTGATTGATGGTCTGTGTGATTCCCACCCCTACTTCAGCACATTGTCTGAAACAGGATTCCTAGTTATACAGTTGCCTTATAAGCCAGAATTGTAAAGCAAAGCAAAACAACATGTGCTGCTTATATACTGCTCCATAGCTCTTAAAGAACTATCTGGGTGGTTTATAAGTTCATTATGCAGGCTACATATTCCCCCCACCGGTGAGCTGGGTACTCATTTTACTGACCTCAGAAGGACTGAAGGCTGAGTCAACCTTGAGCTGACTACCTGGGATTGAACCTGGGTTCATGTGCACAGTTTTGGCTGCAGTACAGCACTTTAACCACTGCGCCACAAGGCTGGTAGATACAAGTCAGGAATTGTAAATATCAGCGCAATGGATGAGGGCATAAGTCAGAGGAACGGACTTCAAGAACAATTGAGTTGTTCAATTGAACTAAAGAATCAGAAGCCTTTAAAAACCTGAAGTGCTCAGAGATGACTCCCTGACCTTTACTGTATTACATACAGGCCTGATTCTCAAGTTGCCCATCCATTACATGCTTGAATGAGCTTTGTACTTATTGTTCTTTCATATCATTAAGAGAGCTAAAAGGTTGGAAAAATGCATAATGTAAAGAAAGGTCAAGTGGTAATCATGGTGTGAAATGCTGAAACATGTGTAAGTATAATAATTCTTTAGATTTTATGCTTCCTGGAGATGTAGGTGTTCAAAATTGTACACCTACAAAGGTTTCTTCTGTACTAAATATAGCTCAACAACACTGACCTTTTGCTCCTCTGCATCAGCAATGGCCTTTTCCTTGCTCACTTTCTCAGTCTGAAGCCCTATCTTAGTAATCAAAGCTTCAGCATCCTGATTTCTCAGTTTCAGTTCTGCCTCTTGAAAGGCAAGTTTAGATTTTAAGTCCTCCACCTAAAGCAAGACCACAAAGGCATTAATTTGGTAGTTTGGATATTAGTAATGGTGTGCATGGGCATATATATTAATAATCACATATACTGGCTGAAATCCTGTTGTGCAGCTCTGCATGAGTAATAGTGGTGATGTCTGCTGATTAAAGACTTTAGTGGTTTTGGGATGTATGTAATCATTGCATTTTATGTGAATCTCATGGTCTCCTAAATTGTCTTTGATCAGTGGCAATTTGCCTTTAATCAGCAGTATTATGCCACTGATAAGGGAGGGTTGCTAACCATATAAATTGTTTATGTATACATACACACTTACTAATCATAACAAGACCCTGATTGTTTATGTAAATCTTGACTTACCATTTCTCTCTCTCCCTCTGTGTATTTACACACACACACACACACAGAGAGAGAGAGAGACAGAGACAGAGACAGAGACAGAGAAGATAACCAGTATTTAAATCACTGGTCTTTTTCTGTAGATGGGGAAATAAGAAATGTAGAAATGTAGATATAAGAAGTCTTTAATTACTGAAAATTGGCTCTGCCTTTGACATCATCACCCTTCTACAGTCACAGAACAGAAACTCAGCCTGTGGCTGAAAACCTGTTGTGCAGCTAAGAATGCACAACAGGAAGGACAGCAGCAGTGGTGGCGACAGCAGCAAACTGCCACTGATTCAAGGCTTCCTTTGGCAGCTGTGAGATGCATGCAAACTTATACAGAATGCAACCGAGTTGCATATTCCCTGAAATCACCAAGGAAGCTTTTAACCAACTTGTCAGTGTTATTAATGTAATTCCTGTCATGTATGTGGAGTTCCATGAAAGGATTTCAGCCATTATATTATTTATTTATTCATCCACCTATCCACGCTTTATCCTAAAACTGGGGATCAGTGTAGTACATGACGAGATAACAAGATAGGGTACACATTAAAATGAAACAAAACAAAACAAAACAAAAAACCCACACAGAAAATGGTATTACGTCACAAAGAAATGAACTATATTACATAATTTTTGAAGTATAGAATACCAAGTAAGTATGGTAACAGGATGAGGAGAATGGGAGGCAACTTTTGACCATACCTTCTTTTTAGGGTCTAGAGCCATAATCTTATTAACATTTTTCAGCAAAAATATTTAAAGGATCTGCAGCATCTTAAAGACTACCAATTTCTGTTCATCTTCTGTTCTGCTACATGACACTTGGTTATGTTTCTCTTACTCAAAACTAGGACAGTAAGACCGTAGATAATTGTGTACTATATTAAGAAATAGCAGAAATATAAATCAAATTCTGGGACTTTCATGACATCAGTTGCAGAATATATGGCTCTTCACATGTCATCAAACTACATCTCTTAACATTCCTAACCAGCATACTCAATGGTGTTGTAGTGCAGCATCTGGAGGGTCACATGTTCTCCATCCCTGAATACAAATATTAATTATTTTCACCTGAGAAGCAGTTGTTTTCAGTTTCTGAATGCCATTTACAAGGTGCTCCTTGTGCTGGGACATCTTCTGGATTTTCTTTTCTAGAAGGTTCTTATAAAGCATGATTTGCTCCAGAAAGCTTTTGGGAGTAGTATAGTTATACCTCTTCTCATTCTGCTGAAACTTAGCACTCATCTCATTCACACTGGTGTGGGCGTAGGCCATGAAATGACAGATGGACTCATAAAATTGTGGCTGGAAATAATAAAATAAACATAAAGTAGTTTAAATGCTAAAAGTTAAAAATTCATCTGAATAAAGGGTGCTAAAGGAACCACTGATTCTCTACTCAAATTTCAGAATCAAGGGATCCTATACAACACATTTTTAGTCACATACTGTAATATAAACCCTTGATTAACAAGGGATTATGAGCACAATTACAATTGTCTTGAGGTGGGCAAACCAACATTAACAAACAATGGTCAAATCCTATTGCATTTTTATGCAGCTGGCATACATTTTGATTGCAAACTGCCACAAGTGAAGTAGTGAGTGTGAGAATTTGCTGTTGTGCATCAAGTCACACAACTCAATATACACCATCAAATGCCTACACTTAACTTGCAGCAAATTTGCTACACCAGGGGATGTAACTAACAGGATTTTTGATGGTACAAGAAAGGTGGTGGTGGGGAAGAAAAGATAAAATGCAGATACTTGAAAAGTGTCAAAACCCCAAGGCAGTGACTGGAAGAAGGAAAGGATCTGCTTAATCCCAGTAGTACTAGTGAAATTCCTTTGAATGAGTAGCAACTAGGGATGGGGACAAATCTAAAAACGGATCAGTTTTTCTGACGAATATAGCTGATTTGTCATATATTTGTCGATTCATATTTGTAAAATTTTAAATCAGGATGAATATGGATTGATGAATATTTCCTCGGTTTTATTCGTTTATCCATTCACATTCATCTATACTCGCTACCCCTTTTGGGGTCCTCTCTGAGCTTGCTGGCACCAATTTGAAGCTCAGGCCAATTAGGACAGAGATCCTGGATTGGCATGTCTGGCAGCCATTAGGGCTGCTGAAAGGTGTATCTACTTTTACAGACACTTCATATATGCTTTTCCCGTCCGGCCGTTCCCCACTTCTGTTCATGCTCTCTGGAGTGAGAATAGTTGCTGCTCACTGGCTTGCTGGTGCACTTGCGGTTTCACTTTTGTGGCAGCAAAGCAAAGACTTATATTTTTCTTTTTCATCATCATCCATCAATCATCACCAACTTTACTGGTAATTTGGGGAGGGATTTCAGGTAGCTTAGGCTACATCTTCTGAAGGGCTTAGTTTCATTTCAACTTCAAATCAATCAAAACTTTTTTTTCCTGGAGGCTTGTGTGTGTTTATTGTCGGGGGGGGGACTGTTGTTGTGTGACTGTGGGATCTCTTTTCCTTTATATTCAGTTTTCAAAAGTTCCTTTTAGAGAGGCTTCTGTCTCTCAGGGAATTTGGTGGGTGGCTGGAGTGTAACTTAGCTCGCAGGGCTTTTCTTTTTTGGCTTCTCTGCCACAGTAGGTCAGGGGGCGAATTTTCCTAATTACATTATACTGAGAGGGGGGGTCTTTGTTTAGGCAGGCAGGTCACACTTTAGTAAAAGAATTACTAAACTGTAATTACTAAAGAGGAGAGAACATCTGACTGGCATAGGTTAAACTACATCAGTTCTGCAATCTGAAGCCAGGCGTTATGGTAATGGGGTGACACGCAGACAGCCTTTGGGTGGGGCAGACCGAGGCCGGCCCTCTTTGCATCCAAGCTTAAACCCTCTCTTGGCACCCCCAGAGCCTGTCCCAGCACCCCCGGGACGTGCCGAGAGCGCCAGCCAACCCTCTTTTGGCACACACAAAAGCCTGTCCCCATCCCCAAATGTGGTAAGAGGGCCAGCCAGGCCTCTTGGCAGTTGGCACACCCAAGGTTGGTCCCAACATCCTGAATGTGGCAAGAGGGCCAGCCAACCCTCTTGGCACACCCAAAGCTGGTCCCGGCATACCAAACGTACCTGTGTCGGCCCCCCAAAACCTCCAAGGGCTATCTTTATCATATCGGGGCAGTCTCAGCCAAGTTGCAAGCAGCCCCCAGCTTTCAAGTTCTAAATGAGATCTTTATCACCCCATCGCCCGGCTTCAGATTGCAGAGCTGATCTGTTTCCGACAGCCCCACAGCCCTGTGAATTAACTGCTGTTAGTAGCACCAACTCTGTTCATCTGATGGTGCTACTCGTGCTGTTGAAAGTTGCAAGCAACCTCACTTGTCTCCTGGGGGCAAAACCTTTGCTTTGCAGGCAAATCTGATGTTGCTGAAGAAGACCAGAGTCTGCTCTGCTGTCTTTTGTCTCAGTGCCCCAATGGGGCCCAAAAGCCTGCTTTCCTGCTGCCAACTACCTCATTGCTTGATGGGGCCAAAAAGCCTGCTGTGCTGCCAAATACCTCCTTGCCTCCAGTCCTCCTGAGGGCAAACTCTACTTCACTGGCAAATGTAAT